ATGCATTTTTACATGGTGATCTTGAAGAGGAAGTATATATGGAGCAACCACCTGGGTTTGTTGCTCAAGGGGGGTCATCGAATATGGTTTGTAGGCTACACAAGTCTCTTTATGGTCTTAAGCAATCTCCGAGAACTTGGTTTGACAGACTCAACACTGTAGTACAACCGTTTGGTATGGTCTGTAGTGAAGCTGACCATTCTGTCTTTTATCGTCACTCAGCCCAGGGGTGTATTTATCTTATGGTGTATATGGATGATATTGTCATAACTAGTAGTGATGAGCAAGGGATACTTCGGTTGAAACAACATCTCTCGAATCAATTTCAGACAAAAAAAATTGGTAAATTACGGTATTTCTTGGGTATTGAGGTAGCCCAATCTAAAGATGGTTTGGTGATTTCTCAGCGAAAATATGCTATAGATATTTTGGAAGAAACATATTTGTTGAACACTAAACTAGATGATACTCATATGGATCCAAGTGTCAAACTACTTCCCAATCAGGGAAAGCCTCTATCAGACTCGAAAAGGTATAGGAGATTGGTTGGAAAGTTGAATTATCTCACAGTCACTCGTCCAAACATTTCTTTTGCAGTCAGTATGGTAAGCCAGTTCTTAAATTCTCCTTGTTAGGAATACATGGATGTTGTTATCTGAATTCTGAGATACATCAAATATGCTCTAGGAAAAGGTTTAGTGTATGAAGATAAAGAACATACTCAGATAGTTGGATACTCTGATGCTGATTGGACATAGTCACCAATTGATAGTTGGATACTCTAGGAGGTCTTTTACAGCTTTTTCAGCAGCCTCCGTTTTCTCCGGAGACTGCCTACGCCTACGTTGTACTACGGCCTTAGCGGCGGGATCTATGGCGAGATGGTGACAGGCGACCTCAGGGTCGAGTCTGGGCATTTTCGCGGCGCTCCAGGCGAACAGGTCAGCATTCTCGCGCAAGCAGGCTTTGATCTGTTTCCTCGCCAGGTCGGGGAGGTCGATGCCAATCTTCACTCCCTTGCTTGGGTCTGCACCGAGGGGGACGAGCTCAAAGTCCCCGTCCGGGATTGGTCGGAGGGGAATTTGCTCGCCGTTGGGAGGTTCGTCCTGATCAAAACGAGCATCCAGAGCTATGGAGTCGACCTTTGGTGGAGCTCTCTGGACTTCCTCTTTGGCGGGCTTTGGCTTGTCGGGTTCCTGTCGCATCGTCGTCGGTCTCTTGGTGGGCCTTGTCCCGATGTCGACGGTGTCGCGTCCCTTAGATGCGGCGTTGAAACACCTTCAAGCAGCGGCTAGGTCTCCCTGAATGGTAGCTACCCGTGCCCTTTTGGTGTAATACTTCATCTTCAAATGGACGGTGGAGGGTACCGCGGTCAATTCTTCTAGTGTTGATCTCCCCAGGATGCAGTTGTAGAGGGACGGGCAGTCGATGACGAGGAAGCGTACTTTAACCTGCCTTGTCTCCGTGCCCTCGCCGAAGGTAACCATGAGCTCGACATATCCCCAAGGCTTGGAGGTCGAGCCGTTGAAGCCCTGTAAGTCCGACCCTACGTATGGTGAGAGATGGGAGTCGTCCAGTTGCAGAGTCCGGAACAATTGACTGTACATCACGTCGACGGAACTTCCTTCGTCGACGAGGATGCGGTGCACATCAAAGTTAGCCATTCTTGCTCTTATCAGCAGGGGAATGACTGCGTTGGGGGCTCCTCCGGGGAGCTCTTCCAGGTAAAAAGTGATAGGCTCCGACCTATCTTTTACCCTTTCAAAGGTCACTGTTTGCAGAGGTGCCGCGTCGACCAGTTCGTCCAGCTTTCTTTTAGCCGAGTTGATAGTCAGGTCGTTGAATCCTCCGCCATTGATGGCCATGGTGGAGGGAAAGTATTCCCACCTGCTGTGTGTCGTGAGCGGCTCCTGCAGGTTCTCAGGGACGTAGAAGTCCTCGGGTCTGGTGACGGAGAAGGCGGTCTGGACGGGGACCGACTCGTCAGATGGTCGGGCGTCTTCCTCCGGTTCTCTTGCCCTCGGGCATCACGACGAGGAGCGTCGTTTCGCCGGTATTGGGCGAGCCTCCCTCCCTTGATGAGGGTTTCGATGTCGTCCTTGAGGTGGACGCAATCTTCATTCAGATGACCATGGCTCCTGTGGTACTGATAATACTTGCTCTTGTCTGCTCCGGGTTTGGCAGGAGCAGGTCGGGGGCGTTTGACGCTGCCGTCTTTAAAATCCGTGCTGGCACACTCCGCCAAAATACGCTCGCGGGAAGCTGTGAGCGGAGTGTATTCGGTAAATCGCCCCGAGGGTCCTCTTTGCTCTCGGACTTCTCGGGGTCTGTCCTCTTTTCTTTTCTCCCCGGTTCTTCGAGGAGGGGCAGCTTCCTGGCGCAGGTTACTGCTGGATCCGCGAGTCCTGGGGTCTTGGGCTCTGTTAGCCGCCTTCCTTTCCTCGTAATCCATGTACGCCCGGGCCTTCTCGAGGAGGGCATCGAACGTTCTAGGTGGCTCGATGCCCACTGCCTTTCTGAATTTTGTGCCGGGGAGGAGCCCCCTCTCCAGCAAATATCTTTTCATGTGGTCCGCGCAGGGGACCTGGATGGCTTCGTGGTTGAAGCGATTGATAAACTTTCTCAGGGTTTCATCCTATCTCTGGATGATGGCTTCGAGAGTCGCCTCGGTCTTTGGGTGTCGCCGAGACGTAGTGAACGAACTTATGAATTGGTTCTTCAGGTTTCGCCACGAGGTGATTGATCTTGGAGCGAGGCCTTTATACCAGTCCATTGCTGCCTTTCTGAGGGTCGTGGGAAACAACTGGCATTTGATGGGTCCCCCAACATTGTGGTAGTGCAGCATAGCCTCGAACCCGTCGATGTGGTCGACCGGGTCCGCGACTCCGTCGTATTCCTTCAGATGTGGAGGCTTCTCCATGCTCGGGGGTATGGGTGCCTCCATGATTGCTTGTGATAGGGGACCGCGGACGTTGTCCTCGTCACTTCGCTCCGGGGAGAGCGATAGGGACCTGTAATATTGTCGAGCCCGATGGTCCTGGTCGTGTTGGGCATCTCTCGAGCGTGGCGCTCGTTGGTTGATTTTTCCATGCCCGTCTCCGGAGTGTCTTCTTTCTTGTCGTGTGGGGGCGTGGTTGCGTCCCCCGACTTCGATGATGGGTTGCCTCTCCAAAGGGGGGCGTCTCCCTGAGGGTCGGGGAGACGGGCTTCGGGAGGTGTCTCTGTAGTTTCTCAGCGGGGGAGACGGGAGATGTACCTCTGTTACTCGAGGAGGTGGATTTTGGGGCCTCCTGTGTCTCCTCGCAGGTCTTCGATCGTCCTCTAGTGCCCTCAATCTTTCCCCTTGGGCGAAGATGAGGTAATTCGTCTGATTGATCGCCGCGAATAGAGCGCGGGTTATGGTATCTGCCCCGACGGGGACAGGGACTTCCTGAAATTGGGCAGCTCGATAGTTTGTAGGAGCTGCGTTGTCTTCTTCGAGCGGCGGAGGAACTGAAGAGGATGATGTAGTAGCTCCGTCGCGGTGGACTGAGGGCTCGGGGTTGGTGCCCTCGGGGAGTGAGTTATGACCGGGGTTACCGGCGTTATCGGGGAGTCCATTTTTATCTGCGAGGTCGTTGTTGGTATCGACGACGCATATGTTTTGGTCATCACGAACTTGGTCAGCCATGACGGTAGGAGGTGATTTGAGCTTTGGTCTTCGAGGTTTTGCAAGACGGGGAAGCTAGTTTCCCACAGACGGCGCCACTGATCTTACCGGATCAGACTTGGACCGTCACGACTGGCTCCGAGCGAAAGTTGAACGAGGTGGGGGGTACCTGCAAGGAACTCTGATGCTAAAGTGAGTTATGGTACGAGCAAGCAAAAAGTGTGTGTATGGTAAAAGAATGAATACCTGACCCTCTAGGAATAAAGGGTATTTATAGCCCCCAGCGCGGGGCCAAGGTCCCTTCATTGGGCCGACCAGGACTGACCCAATAAAGGAACTGCCAGGTTCTACGTGTGTAGTGGGGACCCGCACGTGGTCCCCTTCCTGGTGATGCTCAGCGAGAAGTACGGAGGGACGAGGACGCGGTCTTTTCGGAGTTCAGGTGATGGAGTAACGATCATAGTCTGCCCTACGAGGAGGGTGCTCGAGCTGGATTTCATGTGGTCGAGGGTGTCGTGTTCGCGGGTAGCGGCGGGCACGGCTGTAGCTTATGGTCGACGCGCTGGCGGGAATCTTCGGACGCGCGCCCCTTGTAGAGCTGCTTGGATTGAGCCTTCGTTCTTGCTCTTGAGCCAGGACGGGCCCAGTCCAGAACAGGATGTGTAATTGCGAAACTCTCAACTTTGTCCGTAGCAACCTTCATTCAGTTCTACTAAAATCTTCAATAGAAAATAACATTTTTCCTTTTTGTTCTTGCTGGAATGTCAATCTCAACTCCACCACACAATTTGAATTTTGACATGCAAGTCAAAAACTTCACAAACATTAACAATAAATGAGTCTCTTCTACAATAGATCTCACACTCCCTCGTAGTTGAGAAACAACTCCAATATAATAATCTTGTTTAAAGTTGAAGATGAATTCATATACAATCGAAATTTGTGAAATGTGTTCTTTAAAAATTTGTTTCAAGACTTTTGAAAATCTTTCAAAAGTATAATTCATTTTTGAATTGAGAGAAAAAATTTAATTTATATATATACTTGAGATTAAGCATTAAAAACGAGTAAAAACACTATTTTTATTCGAGTCAATATCAAAAAGAATTCAATTAGAATGAAAAAATAATTTGAATAAAAACTTAAAACTCAAATTTTGTATATTTAATTTGAGTCATTATTTTGAACTACGAAAGTTTATTTTTTTAAATTCATTAAATAATTAATATATTAAATAATTAATATATATGACGAGAGTATATATATATATATATATATATATATATATATATATATATATATATATATATATTGTTTCATGAATTCTTCATTTTGTTTCCATTTTCCAAACATGTTTTCCCGAACCCACCGCTGTCTCCTTCCTTCTCTGACTTGCCACAAAACCCCAAATTCATCACTCTTTTCTTCTTCTTCTTCATCTTCTTCACAACCCCCAAACACAAACAACAAAGACAAGATCATCGTATCTAGATTCCACCACAAAGACTGGCTAACCTCAAAACAAGCAACAACCTTAATCAACTCCTTAACCAACCCTTCCATTGCCCCAACTCTCTTCAACATCTACTCTTCTCGCAAAGACTACAACCCAACTCAACCCTTCTGCATTTCCCTCATCACCAAACTAGCCCAATCTCACCAATTCGAACCAATCGACACCCTCCTCAATTCCCTCCAACCTCCACAGAAACACCGTTTTACCCAAGATTTCTTCTTCCATCTCATCAAACTCTACGCCCATAAAGCCAACAGAATCGATAAAGCCGTTGAAACCCTCTTCATGATGCCGAGTTTCGGTTCTTACCCAACCTCTAAAACTTTCAACTTTGTCCTTAATCTCTTGGTCAATAACAAACTACACGACCAAGTTTTTAATCTTTATTCCTCGGCTTCCAAGTTAGGTTTTCAAATTGACGCTTGTTGTCTTAATATTATCATTAAAGGGCTATGCAAACAGGGGGAGATTAAAGCTGCGTTTAAGGTGTTTGATGAATTTCCTAAGCTGGGAATTCAACGAAATGAGAGAACTTTTTGTACGTTAATGCATGGGCTATGCGAGGAGGGGAATGTGGATGAGGCTTTTGAGTTGTTGGAGGTAATGAAAAAGGAGAAAATTTGTGTTGATGTTATGGTTTTCAATGTTTTGATATGTGGGTTGAGGAGGAAAGGGAGAGTGGATGAAGCCAAAGAGGTTTTGGAAGATGGGATGATGAGGAATGGATGTTACCCTAATGAAAGTTCTTATCAACATGTTTTGTATGGGTTGATTGACTTCAAGAGATTTGGGGAGGCTAAAGGGGTTGTTGAGAAGATGGTTTTGAAGGGTTTTGTTCCTAGTTTTGATTCGTTTAAAGGTTTGGTTTTTGGGTTTTCTAAAGAGGGGTTGGTTGAGGAAGTTGATTGGGGTGTTAGGGGTATGGTTAGGATGGGTTTTGTTCCTAGGATGGGGATGTGGAGACAGATTGTTAAGTGTGTTGTTGTTTGTAGAGATGTTGCTGATTCTTTTGATAGGATTTTGGATGTTGATTGTGATTGAAAAATACCATGTTGATAGTGTTTTTTTTTAAGGTATTGTTACCTGAAATTTAAAATTTGTTTTTTAACTTTTATAAAGTTGATTGCACTAAGAAACTTGTGTATTAGCGGCACGACTTAGCATTAGTCATGAGGCTTAGCAACTTGTGTTTTAACAACATAAGTTACCATTTTTAATAGTGTTTAATGTTTATTGTTTTATGGACACAATGTTCTACTGTTATTTTGTGTAATGTTCAAAAAGTTAGGTTCATTTTCATTTCTTTAAAAGGTAGAAATATTTATTTTCAGAGAAGATACAATGTTTAATGCACCTCTCTATCAAGTGTGTTAAGTCAACATTAATTCTTAAAATAGTGTCTTAATAGAATATCTCTATAACTTAATTGTTGTTTTCATTATAGGAGAATTTAAAAAGAGTGTCTTTTTTTACTAAAGAGATTATTGAGTTGAGTTACAAGTAGTCTATCAGAATTAAGTTTCTAAGGTAAAACAACTAATTTACATTGTTTGGCATCCTATTGTTGATAAGTATGTAATTTACTTGATTTTCATTGTTGTTTTTATACTAAATTACTTACATGCGCGTTAAATAACGTATGACATGTTTGGAATAGCTTCTCCACTCATCAAATGCACGTCTACAAGCCAAAACTTTGCTGTGAAAACAAGAAGCTACACTTTGTAGCTTCTGTACCAAAACGCACGTATGACATTTTTCACTGCGGATCCAAACATGCTAGTAGAAAACCTTTGATTTATGCAAAATTGACCCAATATCCAAACCAGTGCGAGGCTCGAGAATCGGCCAACCCATAACCGACCATTGTCGCCACCAGCGGGCTTTTCTCTTTGTATCACTTGAGATTTTGAGACGTCCATAAATAAATAAAACTTTGTTCTACTCAAACTTAAAACATCCAAATAATGCAATTTGATTGTTTAAGTTATGAAAATATAATGTGATATCCATCTCTATTTGCATACTTAGGTTTACTGATCGGTATTAAAAAGTTAAGGGATACACTGAGTTCACTTTGGTAAGTTAACAAACCACATTGATAAGTTTTTGAAAGATACAAAAATGAAGTTTTAGAATAAAATGAAGAGGTATTTAAGTTATAAACCAAAGTACAAATGAAAAAAAAAAAAAAAAAGACAACAAGATTATGCAGTACTAGTACTATATTTCCATATGGAGTATGCTATCATGAACCTTTTACTATGTCTTTTCCTTTTTCTATTTTCATGCAAGTAAAGTAACACAGTTGGCTTCAACCACTTTAATAAGATGGAGCAGCAGCATGCTTCACTTCTGTTGCACTCACAACTCCAACAACACAGTCGTACATTTTTGGCTTTTGCATTAACTGCTTTTTGATAGTAACTTTTGCAATAATAATCTTCAAAAACAGAAAAAAGAACATGCAGCATTGAGTTCATCTCAAATGTCTTTCGTTCAAATCCTTACTTCTAATTCGCACTTAATACTACTACTAGAAATTTTTCTTAAGATAATGACATTTGATTAAAGAGAAATATTTATGGGGTATTACACCCTAACTCTTAAATAAAATTTTATTTTCAAAATTTAGAAATTTAGAAATTTTATTTTACTCCGAGTTTTTATTCTAGTTCCCATGTAGCTTCTCAAGGGTGTGATCTTTACTATAATAATTTTATCAACGATATTTTTTTTCTTTCAAAATTTCACTGTATATCTACCACTTAACTTGGTTCAGATTGAAATGTAAGATCGGATAACTTCTAACGACTATGAAAAAATATATTTTTTCATTTTTGATAGAAGTTACGGCAGACCTTACATTTTAACCTCAACTAAGTCACGTTACATCTCATGAAAACTGAGAATTAAAAATGTGAGCAAACTACTAACAACTTTTTAGGTGATTTCTAAATTTTGAGGACGGAATCTTATTAAGGAGGAGGATGCAATACCCCACAAATCTTTTTCTTTAATCAAATAAAAACTTCTACTAGTAGAAATACTAAGGGAGAATAAGGATTTGAAAGGAAGACTTTTTTTGCAAAGGGCTCCTTGAGAGAGAAAAGAATAATATCGCATTTTGTTCTAGTTTTCGAATCTTAAAAGAAAAAAAAAGAGAGAAGGAAAAGAAAGGAGACATAATGTGTTGTTGTTGGTAGAGATGTTGGTGGTTCTGGATGTTGATTGTGATTGAAAAATACCATGTTGGTAGTGTTTTTTCCTAACGTATTGTTACTTGAAATTTAAAATTTGTTATTCAACAATAAAATATTTAAACTTTTATAAAGTTGAATGCAGGAAGAAACTAGTGTTTTTTATATCTTGTTTTATGTTTATGGATACATTGTTCTATTATAAGTGTACATTTGTTATATTTTATATCTTGTTTTATGTTAATGGAGACATTATTCTATTATAAGTGGACATTTTCTTATAACTCATCTGTTTCATAAAATAAAATCTGACCAAATTATGTCGAAAATACGTCCCATGCTTTTCTATTTATGGTGAAGAATCACATGTCATACTTATAATCACAAGTGCATAAAACTTGAAACAGGCCGTGCACCATTCAAATTTTGGTTGTAACAAGACAAAAAACACATCTTGTTTCTGTTATTTGTTTCTCTTGTATATGTAAAAGCTATTACTATACAAACCTGAGTTGAAAAAGTACAACACCAACAGCACTCGTGGCATAAACGTGTTTATGAAAACGAAACCTATCACTACTATACAACAAAAACTACTCTAGATGTAACCAGAGTATAAGGTAACATATAACAAAAATATTAACTTGAAAAACTGTACAGTATATAAACGTGTCTGACAACTATATTTCGGTGTCGTGTTTGATATCTGTGTGCTTTGTATAGAATGCGGCCGTTGACTTGATTAAACATTCTTCACTTCAGCAACACTGCTAACAACCCTTTTATCAGCCACCATTTCCTCATTTTCACCAGACTTAACAAATTCTTCATTAGACCTTTCAGGGGAGCATGCCTTTTCAGGCTTGGTGTTGGATGGAACACTATACACCTCACTCAAATTGGATTTGGGGGAACCACTTTTGGGAGCAATGGCCTGGGAATAAACTGGAGTTCTTATTACATCTATTTGTGGCGAAAGAAATTCATCATTAGAAGAGTCAGATTCATTTTCTCTTTCTGGAAGGGTTGCCACTGAATCACCTTTAGACTTCCTTGCTTTACCAGAAAGAACGTGTTTTAAGCTACGAGCCGATTTTTCTGCATTTTTTAAAACATGCTTTGCCATGTCCTTGACATCTCTCTTTGCCGGGCTTTCAGGGCCGCAACCACTCCCTTCAGTCGATCCACCTTCTACCTGAATCTTACCGGTCGGAAAGCCAGTAATATTATCATCCATAACAAACTTCACACCGACCCCTTTAGAGGCATTTACTGACCTAATGTTATCATGTGGAGATTGAACATCCTCCGCAATTGAACTTGATCTTTCATACTTTTTCTGACTCCTACGAAACACAGAACCAATTTTGTGTAGGCCTTTCCTAACAGTTCTCATTCGATGCTTATCTTCGGGATTATCATCAGGACTGCTGCTGTCATTGTTCAAAGATCCAGATACGGTTGGATTATTAAAGTTGCCAGATATATCATTAAGTTCCCCGTGAATCTCTGTATCGAGGCGTCGATCCTTCCCTTTTCTTGGCTCCCAGGTTTGGGAAACCTCACTTCCTGGGTGGTGAACCCAAACTCCTGTCTTCTTTTGCCCTTTAATTTCTATAGGCTCATAGTCATCTGCTACTTTTGGAGATTTGTCAGACGAAAAGGACGAGAAAGAACTTCTTTTGGTGGTCTCATTTACAAAAGAATCTATTCTATCTTGAATGTCTATTGGTTCCTGGTCGTGTGTAGGATCAGCTTCCTGTAGATAAAATTGAAATTAAACATAAACAATAGATCAAAAACATTAGTAGCAACTTGTTCCTCTTCATGCAGAATGCAGACTAGAGTGTGACAGCATGGGGTGTTGATATATTATATATTTGTTATAATTGGAATATTGAATTAACATAAATCAATGACAATTAAGTTTGCGAAAGTAAAAGTGAGAAGATATGAACTTCTGATATTTTGATTGTTTCTTCTTTTTTTGTTTTTGAAATTTGGGTTTTCTTCTTTCTCATCCTTTTGTTCCACTTATATTCTTCTTTTTCTTTCCATTTTGAAGAAAGGAAATAGGTTACTTATTATTAGTGTAAGTGTGTAAGTTTGAAACAATGTACCTCTTTAAGTGGCTTTTGATGAGAATGATACATTGTTTGGTGGTAAAAGCTTGTGTATCTGTATAGTTAGACAATCTTCTTTGAAATTGTGTTATGTGAGCTTTATAATTTCAAAAATGAGTGTGATGACAATCATTTTGTAGAGTTAATGTAACTCTTAGTTAGAGTCAATTTCCAATGCATTATTTTGTGTTTGTTTTATTAGTTGAGAATTAATGGCGAATGGAGATCATGACTCACGAGTATTAAGTGTGTATTGGAATTTGATTTCAATAGAGGTTCTGTTGGTCTGTTTTATGTGAATTTATATTATTTTTTCAATAGAGGTTTCAAATGTTTGACTTTTAGCATTTCATGAATTCTGAACTTCCTTCAAAAACTGAATTCTGAACTTTTTGCATGTATACATATAGAATCACATGACTATATATACTTGAATTAAGTTATAACATGTTTTAATTTTTAGCTATCGATGATACATTAAATATGCAATTATTCTTATGTGAGATGTCAACATATAGGCTCTAGAGACTGTCTTAATTACTATAATATCCTCTGAAAGGTACTTCTAAAATAGTGAAGTACCGGTACCGGGTACACACACCAGACTCGTGGTACTTTACTTTTTCTCATTATTCGATTTCGAGTGAAATTTGAGATTTTCTCAAATATTAATATAGTATATTTATGCATTTTAATTTATTGGTTATTGTATCATAAC